CTTTTGGTCTTCAGCTCCTTCTCGGGCATCTTCTCTAGCCAGGGGCGGCCTCGTGCAGGGCCAGGAGAGGAGGAGCGCAGGGAAATCTCCTTCCCAATGTCTCTGCTCGCCTAACCACCCGCTTTCCTAACCAGCCTGTGCTAATTGCACTAACGGTGCCTGCTCTGAAGTCTGCCATCACCTCTGACATCTCCGCATGCCCAGGAGCCCCCCGGGCACCCTGCAGCCCCTGTCCTGGGGCGCCCATCTGTGCCAGCCCTGTCTCCCCCACCGCCTGTCCCCCTGTGTCCCTTTGCATGGACCCTCGTGTCTCCGCGCTGCGGCAGGGTGGAGCAAGGTTTCTCGCAGCGTGCGTTTCCCAACGCCTCGCTGCCGTACGGTGCTGCCACAGCTGTGGGAGGTGAACCCCTGTGCCAGCCCCATGTTGCTGGCCTCTGTTGTGCTGCCCCGTGGCCGTGGGAGATGGGTTGGGGACGCTTCCCCCTCCTCCTGGGGCCAGGAGAGAGCGTCTGCTCTGCCACTAGCTCGGTGCAGCCTGAGCATCTCTGGCAGCAGGGTTGTGCCTCAGTCTCCCGTTTTCACTGCCGTCCTGCGGGCAATGCTCACCCTCCAATGGATGGGGGTGGTCCGTGGTCCCCCAGCCTGCGCATGGGACCTGCTGTGTTTAATTGGCAGCATCCCAGATGGCAAGCATCAATTAACAAAGCTAGTTAGTGGTTCAGAAGGTGCGGGTGGTGTGGCCGTTTGCAGGATCGGGGTGACTGTATCTGTGCTGTCAGCATCGATCTCGATCTTTTTGCTGCCCCTAAGTGGGCCTTTGGCGTGGAAATGCAAGGCTGAGGGCGAGGGCTGGCCGTAACCCCTCTAACGCTGCCCGGCCTGGGTTCCCATGGCTGTGGCTCTCTTGACCCCTTTGTGGATGCAGTGATGTTCTTCCCCACCATCCCCCTTTTTCCAGCTGAGCCCCTCTTTAACTCTGCAGCTTCTGCATGGCGTGGATTTGAGAAGTGTGTTTTCTCTCTCTCTTTTTTTTTTTTTCTTTTTCCTTTTTTTTTTTTTTCTTTTCTCTTTCTTTTTTTTTTTGTTTTGTTTTGTCTCGTTCTCCCCCAATTCAGGAAAGGGCAAAAGTTGATGCTGAAAGGAAGGAGCTAGAGCAACTCCGGGCGCTTTACCATGAGTCGAAGAGCCACCTTGATAAGTGCCCCGAGTCAATGCGGGAGCAGTTGCGGGAGCAGATGCGAAGGGTCAGTGTCTCCCCCCACCCCTCCCGCCCCATGGCCCACCTCCCTCCGCTCCAGCTTAGGCCAGCTCTTCCCCACCAGCCGGGGCCGCACTGGGAGCGTCGCACCCGGGCTGGAGGTGGCTGGCGCCGGGCACCGCTGTCCTGGTAAGCTTGCCGCTCGCCCGGGCCCGGGGCGCGATGCCAGCTGGGCAGAGCGTGGGGCTGGCCCCCGCCG